TATATATATTTTTTTTTCTTTATGAAATCTTCAAATTTATTTTTTTATTCAAAAATAAAATCATTATTGCTTTCTTAAAAACACATAAAATCGTATTATAACATCGACAAAAATAAAAAAATAAAATGGAACATTAAAATCTAGATGTATCTCGTTGCATTGCACGAGTACCCTTATAGTATTATATAAAACCAAACACTTTCTTTTATATTTATTCCGATTGATTACTACTTAATACCTCTAACCGAGCACCCATAAATAAATAATAAAGGTTTTCAAATAATAATAATAATAATAATAATAAAAGGTTCATCGAGTGATTAATATATGTACCTTTAATGGTAAAGACCATGATTTCGTACTTTTTTTACTACGAGGTAATTTAGGGTAACAATACCTCCATTTTCTTACAAACTTCACATTTTTTACTTTTATTTTGTAAAATGAAAACTACATTTTTTTTTGGTATGATTATCATCCAACTTTACTTTTTTTTCCCTATAAAAATTACCCTCTTTGCTCGCATTTTTGTACAAGACAGAGTTTTCATGAAAACAATAACTATACTATTAGGAGTAGATGTCAGATATATATATATATATATATATATATATATATATATCATTGTAATCTAATTTCATTGAGATTTACTGGATCCTTTTGATTTGATGTGTTTTAAAGGCAATCTGAGTCCTATGCATCATTGGACATGTAGTTCATAGACGATTGTCCTTAAACCAAAGAGCATAGTCGGTTCGAGCATTGCTCTAGATTCTTCAATTGTCGTGGTGGATTCCAATGCAAATTCATCGTTGGTTCAAGCATTGCTCTAAAATCCTACTTTTGAGCAGGATTTACAAGGTCTAATTGGTTGATTTGGTTTTCTCGAGTTCTATGTGTCAATCTTTAATCATCGGAGTGGCTTCCGGTGTGAATTCATCTTTGGTTCGAGCATTGCTTCAAAATCCTTTTGAGCAGGATTTACTAGGTCTACTCGGTTTGAATATGGATTTAGAGGCCTTCAGTCATAATTTAGGGCATGATAGTTTCGTGCCACTGGTTTTTCAACCAAACATGATGATCAATTATGCAAATCAACGGTTTATCTCATACTAGGTTGAATTACTATTGCAACCCTGTCATTAGTAAGATAAAACTCACCCGTCTCATGACGATCAAAACCCAACTCACGTTATGCCGTTCATAGACCATTGTCATAGCTAGTTCAAGCATTGCTCTAGAATCTTTAATCGTCAGAACAACTTCCAGTGTAAAATCCATCTTTGTAGAATCTAAGAGTCGGTTTACTAAATGCTTACCTAGTAATTGCTTACCAGGTAGATCTCACCATACTCCCAGGAAACTCTCGAACAACCTTCAACAAAAGGGTACCTGTACCCAAAACCGACACAGATGGGTAGGTAGAGAATACATAGGGACGCAAGACAACCGATGAAATTTGAACATCTTGATAATTATTTTTGCAAAAAATGGATAAAAGAAATAAAGTCAATGAAAGAGGTTGAATACAACAACCCAACCCAACCCAACCCAACCCAACCCATTTGACACCCTTTTTTAGCCATTATTAGAAGACTATAATTCCATTTTCTAATCATATAAAATGGGTCCCACACTAGTAACCAAGGAAACAGCATAATGCCATTGCAGGCTATAAACACAAGGTGCAATTTAAGGTATAATCAGCAACACTTTTATGAGGTTTCCCACCCTTTTAACACTTTTATTTAAGATTTCCAACCAACAATCACCAACCATAAATGAGGAAATTGTCTAAAATTACCATTTTGACCCCCACAATATAGTCAATGTTCTAACATAAAAATAACCCACGTCAGTATTTCACATGTAGCATTTTAGTAAGAGCATCTTCAACAGCTATGCTAAACTCTTCTTTAAAAATGGAGAAAAATATAAGAGAGAAAGGATAATCTCCAATTTTGAAAGAAGAAAGAGAAATAGGCTGTTTACCAAACACTTACCCAGTAAGTGCTTACTAGTAAGATTCTAGTCCACCAAACGGTGTAAATCCTATGCAACAATTTACCCGATAAGCGCTTACCATGGTAAGAGTCGCCGCCCTCACTTACCGGGTAAGACTCATGGTCCTTGTCTCGTTCTTACCGGGTAAGACTCATGGTCCTTGTCTCGTTCTTACCGGGTAAGACTCATGGTCCTTGTCTCGTTCTTACCGGGTAAGATTTCTTGGTCCTTCCCATATTCATCCGATGAGAAAGTGTGACTTGGTAAGCAATTACCCAGGTAAATGTTTGGTAAACGGCCCCAAAATATTGCATACATGTTGAAGATTCTCTAACTTGCTAAATTCTTTACTTTATGAACATTAAATTCATAGAAAAGTAAATTTTATAAGTTGATAAAGTGCTAACGGCGAAATCATGGCTGTTTTGGTCAATTGAGTAGAATTGCGGCTATAAAATAAATAGGGAGTCCGAAATGGCTATTTTGAACAATTTCCTATATTAAAAATGTTACTGCTTAAAAGAAAAATGTCATTTCCATACACAAAAATGATTAGAAACTTGTCAGTAGGTCATAAATTTGAAAGACGTTTGTGAGGAGGTCATTTAAGTATACCCCATCAAGACGTCATGCATTTAATTAAAATCTCATTTAAGTTTAAATGCCTGAATATACCCGTGAGGAGATCATTTAGCTAAATAACTGGTACAACGACTACCCTTCAAATTGCCGGAAAACCTGAATCATGCATCTCTCGGGTAGGCCTGACAACGAACGAAATATTTCTTGTAGAGAACATCCTATATTGTTGGATATTACACCTGATTTGGATCATACAACAATATGCTAAAAAACAAAAAATAGGGTTAGGCATACAACCTTAAATGAGATTTTAATTATATCTGTGATCTCTTGACCTGTTAACGAAAAAACGGCTTCATACTCGTCAAAAGATCATGGATTTAATTAAAATCTCATTTAAGATTATAAGGTTGGATTCGGGTAAGAATGAAAGTTAGAGTGAAAAGGGTAAAAAGGGATCACCCTTGGATCGATCGTCATTGAAGATCAACACTGATGAAATGCACCGGATCAATTCTCGTGGGAAGCGCAATTCATAGGTTGGGGTGAGATTGAAAATGATCAAGGGTCTAGATCCCTTCTTACGCTTCTCATCTTAACTCCTATTCTCACACGATCCTTCGTCTAAAATTATATACCTTGAAGGATACTATACCTTGCTTCAAATAGCATTAACCTTTGACCAGCTATAGAAAGTCGTTTACCAACACAAACTGGGTAGGCACTAACCAGGTAAGAGTGTGATCTGGGTCAACACTAATTACTGAGATACCAAGAGTCCAGCTATAGAAAAGTCGTTTACCAACACAAACTGGGTAGGCACTAACCAGGTAAGAGTGTGATCTGGGTCAACACTAATTACTGAGAGACTTGGTAGACACTATCATCCTTAGCTTACCATGCCAACATTATGGACCGTCAAGAGGAGCTTGGTAGACACTATCATCCTTGTCTGGGTAAGCGTCTTTTTACCTAGTAAAAGGCGGTAAGCAAGTAGTAAATAGCCTCTACCCCTACGCCCCCTAGCTTACCAAGCAAGAGAGCTCTTTACTAAACACTTATCGGGTAAGCGCTTACCAATATCGCTTACCTTACTGATTGAACATGATAAGGACCAAGAATCTTATCCAATACGAGGCATAGTCAGGAGCAAGAGTCTTATCTGGTAAGTGAAGAAAAAAACTCTTACCTGGTAAGATCTTACCAACAATCCATTTTCATGGTTGAGGATGTTACACGACAAGGTAAGCGAGGGTGATTTCTTTTACCGATAAGCACTTATCCGGTAAGCCTTTGATAAACGGCCCCCAAGAGTGCGATCTGGGTCAACAGTGATTACTGACCGAGTAAGAATCCTTCCATTAGCTTACCATGTCAACATCTCCGTCAACATTATGGACCAATAACAGGAGCTTGGTAAACACCAACATCTCTGTCAGTGCAAGGCCTCTTTACCTGGTAAAAGGCAGTAAGCAGGCAATAGCCCCCCCTCCCAAAAAGAAAAAGAAAACCGCCCCCGGCCCCAAACAAGAAAAAGAACTTGAAGATAATGCCATTTTAACACCAGGGAATCCAAGAATTGGAACACATAATTTGATAACAATGTTACAGTAATCTACTGCTAACAGTAAAAAATGTGGCCAGTAACAAGTTTTTCATTTAAACACAAGAACATCGAACCACATTATGCAAAAAAAGAAAACGAACCTTACATCAGCGGTATATTACAGAAGGCCCAGCAAAGGCATACCGAGATGAAACAGGTGCGGATCTGATTTCGAGTTCACCCCCTCTCTGATGCTCGATCTGGTTGTACTCTGAGCCATTTGCCGAATATAATCTTTCTACTCTATCGGGTAAAATGGTTTCTTGATGAAATCGTCTGTCCTCCATAGAGTCGTATCCATACACACTAGAGGGAGCTGCCGGAGGTTGAGGAAGATAACGATCCACGAAACTGAGATTTTGATTATAAGAATTGTATGGATCTGATGGATAAAAACTTGTTGCGTGATTGCTTGTATCTATGTTTGGAGTCGATGATGTGGGATTCTCTTGTCGACCTTTAAGGCCATAAGTTCGATAGTCTCTTTCACTGAGGAAAAGTGCATCAGGGGGGGCAACTTCTCTTTCTTGATCGGTTCTATAAGAATCATAAGCAGGAGGACCAATCGGGGTTAAGTTTTTATGCCTTTCTCCTCTAAGCCCATAACTCCTATACTCGTGTTCGGTTAATAAAAGTGGAGAAGAAGCCACGGTTGGCTTCGAGAATTGTATACTTTCTTGTTCGGGTGGTCTACTGACAAGAAGCGTATCAGGGTGAATACGTTCTCTTTCTTGATCGGTTCGATAAGGATCATAAGCAGGAGGACCAACCGAGATTAAGTTTTTGTGCCTTTCTCCTCTAAGTCCATAACTCCTATACTCGTGTTCGGTTAACAAGAGTGGAGGAGAAGCTACGGTTGGCTTCAAGAATTGCATACTTTCTTGTCCGGGTGGTCTACTGACGAGAAGCGTATCAGTGTGAATACGTTCTCTTTCTTGATCGGTTCTATAAGGATCATAAGCAGGAGGACCAACCGGGGTTAAGTTTTTGTGTCTTTCTCCTCTAAGCCCGAAACTCCTATACTCTTGCTCGGTCAATAAATGTGGGGGAGAAGCCACCACTGGCTTTAAAAACTGCATACTTTCTTGTTCAGATGGTCTACCAAGGAAAAGGGTATCAGGGTGAATACATTCTCTTTCTTGATCGGTTCTATAAGGATCATAAGCAGAAGGACCAACCGGGGTCAAGTGTTTGTGCCTTTCTCCTCTAAGACCGTAACTCCTATACTCTTTTTCGGTCAATAAAAGTGGAGGAGAAGCCAGAGCTGGAGTTGAAAAATGCATACTTTCTTGTTCAGATGGTCTACGAGGCTCGTGAACAACTGATTGTGGATTTGAATGCACCAATGGAGCCGGCTTGAATAGGTTTGTAAGTTTCTTTACCTAAGAAGGGGCAGAAAGTAGATGATTTCGTATTTAAATTATAGTAATCACTGTTTTTCAACATAGTTAAGTTGTGCCATTTTGCTATTCTAAATATAAATAACATATAACAAAAATACAGTATCATATAGACCACAAACCAAATAGAAACCCGCTAACAGTTAGAAACCGTGAAAACCAATTTCATGTATTGTTTCGTAGGTGAAACAATACATGTGAAAACCAACCAAAACCATCCAATGAGTTTGGTTTTTGAGATATGATTCATATTGTTTAACATGTTATGTTCTTGTGTACGAGTATGAGTGTGTGTTTCATGTATAAACGTATATTTGTGTTTCTTTTCACAAGCAAAACATTCTTTTGACGTTTCATCTATGAAACAAAATCATTGTATGAACATTGCACGTTCACATGTGTTGTTTCATCTCTATGAAACAATACATATAAACTGGTTTTACAGGTTTCTAACTTTTAGACGGTTTCTATTTATTTTGCCCACGTAACATATAAATAAATAGAATGTGGGGCTCACTTGATCAATAGTTAACTCAGTCTTGAACTTGTGAGTTCTTTCATCATAACTCTCCTTAATTGCCTTCTTAAAAACATTCTCAGGTAGTGGAACACAGTCCTTGTAAACCTCAAAGCGAACCTATACAAATCACCAACCATCAGTAATAAAAATGAGGTGATTATCTTAGAGGTCGTTTACCAAACGCTTATTAGGTAAGTGCTTACTGGGTGTCACTTACCTTACAGGGTGAGAACGACAAGGACCGAGAATCTTACTCGGTAAGGGCATAACAAGGACCAAGAATCTTACCCGATAAGTGAGGTATAAGACTCTTACCCGATAAGCGCTTACCGGGTAAAACACTCTTACCAACAATCCATTTTGATGGCCAAGAATGTTACAAGATAATGTAAGTGAGAGTGGTGACTTTGTCGGTAAACGCATCAGTAAGCGCTTACCTATAAGGGTTGGTAAACGCCCCTAAGCAGAGAAGAAAAACCATGGGAAAATGAACCTGAAGAGGAAAGGCCCCACCAAAAGCAGCTGGTTCAAGTTTCATGCCACCAGCTGAAGATGCGATATATATACCATACAAAATCTTGAGATCAAAATCGAAGAGAAAAAGCTTCATACCAGGTTTGATCCCCATGACTAGCTCTTTCTTGTGTGCTTGGACACCCATAACACGATAATGATAACAATCTCGTTTGGTTTTTCGGTTGCACATAAAGATACATCCTCCAAGAGTTTTCATGTCATCATTTCTGGCGTAAACCATTGATGAACTTTTGCCTTCTTTCACTTTACCAGACTGAAACCCCTTCTTTGTAACTTCAGGTTTAGGATTTCGGGAGGTATTTACTGGTTTAGAACTTTTATTAGGCTTCTTCACAAGCTTTTGTGACTTCTGGAATTCCTTTGAGTTAGAAAACACGGGCTTTTCCTTGGAGGATTTATTCACGTTTTTACCTTCAGTTTTTGGAGAAATGAGGGTTCTCTTATTCGAGGATGACAAGGGTGCACTGGATTCCCCAAGTTTGGAATTTTCATTTGAGGACTTCTTCACGATTTTGCCTTTAGGCTTCAAAGACTTTGGGGTTTTCATTTTTGAGATCGATAATGGTGAGCTGGTATCATCAGGTGTAGATTTTTCATTAGAGGACTTCTTCAAAAAATTACGTTTGAGCTTCAAAGACTTTTGGGTTTTCTTTTTGGAGGTCGACAATGGTGATTTGCATTCGTCATTCTTAATGATATCCTTTTCTGATGACATAGTCTCCTGTCTCCCGAACTATAGAACACAGTTTATCTATGAACTTTAAGGACCACCAATTTATTCACCAGGAAGGGATGCCGTCATGTAAAACAACCAGGCATAAAAAATAGACCCTGCAACATTAAAATCAAATAATACATACCGAAGAATACGAAAAGGTATCTAACTTTTCCAACCGTGTGTCTTGAAAAATGTTAAAGGGTTGTTTGGTTGGTTTTCCATTAAGTACTTTATGGATAATGCTGACTGTGTGGATTAATCTATTTGTATTGATTGGAAGGGTTTTCTCATAGATGGAAGGAATGTGTTTTTTAATTGGGAGGGGCAGGTTTGGAAAAACTTGGATTTATGCATAAAGCTCCTCTTAGAAGCTTACCGGATAAGCCACTTTCTATATCGTTAAGCCACTACCAAACAGTCATATATAGCTAACCGAATAAGATGTGAGTCCAAGTAAGCTAAATAAGCTGTTAACAAATAGGCCATAAGGGCTGCTAGGTGGTCGACTGGCCTGTTAGAACCCTAATTGTCCATCAGATGACAAAGCAGATGTATACGGAGTTCAATTTCATGAACAAGATGTAATTAATTCTGATTATGTAGACATAGTGACACATGTAATTTAAATTTTTGATACTATACTCTCTTTGATACAATTTTCTTTCTAAATGGCCGATATCATTATTCCTCAAATACAATTACTCAAGAAATGATCAAAAAGGTTGCCAATAATTGAGAAAGGTTTAATTTCTGTGAGTTAACCTTCATGGTTTTATTTGATTAGGTTCTTTTTTTTTGGAAATTTTAACAATTGTGCGCCATTTTGGTTCGTTATTTCTTCTTTATGTTCTATATGCTTCATTCACCACTGATAGATATCGTGTGAACTTTTTGTAGATTGTGATAAAATCAATTTGAATTTGTGAACTGCAGAAATTATCTGAATGGCTGACGAAGTATGTTAGTGAGAGATGGTAAGTTGCTAATCGGGAACAGAGGAGGGCGCTCAATGTCTAGGTGCCCAACTAGGTGGCCGTGTCTGACTGAAACGCCAGTTTAACACCTAGGTGGCCTCTTAAACGTCCTAATGTTTAGCTCACTGAACCAAACAAATTCAAATTACAGTTCCAAAATGAACAGGTTTACAATAACACTTCCAAGTACCCTTTTTCTTCCTTAATCTATGGGCGGTGCAACGTCCATCTCATGCTTAAAATTCGGATGTCGATTTCCCCCAAACTTTGATGTTGATTCCCAACAATTTCCAACCGGTAGTGTATATATTTTGATAATCATTAAGCTACCACAAATATCATACTTTCATGTTCAGCAGCAATTATTTTCTTAGATCTTCCAAGTCCAAGCTACTTTCTCTTACATTGATTTTTATACATTTCAGATCACAATCTACGAAACATTCGCACGATATCTACAATCTATTAGCGGACAAAGAAGCAAATAGAACGTCTAATGAACCGCAGTTGCTTAAATTTCAAATTTCCAGCAAAAAGCTAATGAAATACAATCATGAAGGCAAACTCGCAAGACACTGAAATCACTAACCTCAAAATACGTCGTGCAGGAGAACGAAATCGGCAGGAGAAGTAAATCCGGTGACGATGAGACGGATCGGGATTCGCGAAGACAAAATAAACCGTAAGGGGAAGATATTTGGAGAACAATGGCAAACCTAAACCATGGTTAGTTGATCAAAATCTTGTCAGGCCCTTTCCGACTTCCGTACACTTGATGGGCCTCCACATGAATTAGGTCGGCCCAATTAAACCCAAAGTAGGCCACCGGTTTGGATCTGGCCCAATTTTGCCTTAAAAAATGCACTTTTTTTGTTTTCCTTTCACTTGTCTATTGTTATTATGGAGTGGTTTACCAAACTTTTACTGGATAAATATTTATCAGTAGGTGATCGGATTGAAGAGATTTGAACAATCTAACCTAATGTTTACGGTTTAGAAAATTACAACACAATCCAACCTAGACCAAAGGGCAACCCACCCAACCCAAATCGTATGGGTCGGTGGAGTTGATTCTTTGGTACATCAAAATATTCTTCTAACATTGAATATGTTGTTTTATCTATTCATAATTTTCTTTTCATAATCATTTGATACTACTTATCTAATACTTCGTAAATCTTAAGTATACCATATTCAACTACTTTTCTTCAACTTGTATATAAATATGTTCACATTTAAGGTGCGTTTGATATACAGACTGGGTGGGACGGGACGAGATAAAAATAAATAGTCTCGTGTTTGGTGTGCCATGGAGCAAAAATGAGATGAGACAACATGAGACAAAAGTAAGATTGAGTGAGACTATTATTAAGTTTTTTTTGTTCCACTAAAAAATGTAGAACAACATGAAACTAAATTTGAGATTACAATATTGCCCTTATTATTTGATGTCAAAATATAAACATAATTTAATTGCATCATCTTTCTTCACTTCCACAACCTCCATTCTCGATTCCAACCTCCATTCTTGAAATGTTAAACTTTTGACGATGACATGACAAATGTTATTTACAATTGTTGTGTTTAAACCTTTTAAGTTATGTACGTATTTAGAATTTGTGATATGACAAATGTTATTTACATGTGATTTTGGAATGTTAAAAAAAATATTGATATCATTGATTAAATAATTTAAATATATTTTTGGTCGATTTGTTGTCATTTACAATCATTATACGATATAAAATAACATTACAATATTTAGGGGTAACATGGTCATTTTAACAGTTTTATCATGTCTTGTCTTAGGGGCTGTTTGTTTACCTCTTAATGATACCATTAAGACTTAAGGGTCTGATTCGGTCAAACATTTTCTTGTTTGGATAGGATTTTGATAAAGTCTGAATGAAAACTTTACATCTGAATTGCTCCTTCACCCGCTAGCCCTCCATACGATTCAGATGTCATATTTTTCCAGGTTTGCCCTCCTTTTTTCTCTAATCGTCGTTCTCTTCTTCTTCATCAGTCCATATGACGCTTCTTCTTCTTCATCTGTAGGAATCGCCACTTCGCCAGCAACCCTCGTCGTTCTCTTCTTCTTCATCAGTCCATATGACGCTTCTTCTTCTTCATCTGTAGGAATCGCCACTTCGCCAGCAACCCTCGTCGTTCTCTTCTTCTTCATCAGTCACCAGTCTCGCTCGGTCACCAATTGATTCACAGGTAAGACCTCTCCCTATTTTGATGTAAAACCCTGAAGGCAAGGGGGCAGCTGTGGTTTGTAAAAAGATCGAATCTGTTGGAGATGAGAAAGGTCTCTCGGAAGTCCATAGTTTGATTCCATCTGTTACTTTGTTTTTACGCAGTTGTTGTCTGAATGGAATAACAAGAAGACAATTCGTATGTTTTCTTCTCCAAGCAATGGAATGGCTAGTTGAAGAAGATGTCTGCCATTTGTTGCTTATGGGTATAAACCCTTCTTATGTGGTTAACAAACAACCTCTATTTTGATCTCTGTGTTTTTCAAGAACCTAAGGTTCGATTGTGAACCTTGTAGGGAGAAGCTGTGTTTTTCAAGAAGTTGTTAACAAACAGACCCTATTTTGATCTCTGTGTTTTTTAAGAAGCATATTTTTGGTCTCTATGATTCATTCTCAAACAGTAGCCTAAAGGCTCATTTGTAAACCATATTCTCCTAAATCAATCAATGAGAAGTTGTTTTTAAAACAACTTTTGGTCCAGTGTTCTTCAACAACAAAATCAGGATCAATTTTTGTTTCATCAACCAATAACTTGAAGTTAGTTCCCTGTGTTCTTAAGTTAAAAGTCAAAATGAAAAATGTTTTTGGTTCTTGTATGCTTCAAAGAAACAGCAAACAGAAAGTACACAATGGAACATGGTTTTGTTCCCTGTATTCTTCATAGAACATGGTTTTGTTCCCTTGTTTGAATTGATATAATATTATGTATTAGCTTGGACCATTAATTATTTTCTATTTTTCATGTAGAAATTTCCTTCAGAACTGTTGTCAAACGTTAATTTTCATTAAACACAAGACTGGGGTAAAATGGTAAATTTTATGTCATTCAGACTGTTCATTCAGAACAGTTTCCAAACAACATTTTTCTATCTGACACTAAATCATACAGACTCTCTTAATCATACTGACCACTTAATCATTCTGCACTAAACCATTCAGCAATTGCAAAACAGCCCCTTAGTCGTACCAAACATGAGACAGACAATTAGTCATGTCCTGTCTTGTCCCGTCCTGTTCTGTTCAATCTAGTATGCATATCAAACACTACCTTAAGGGTGCGTTTGGTACACTGGACATGACAAAACATGACATAGATCTTTGTCCCATGTTTGGCATGATTTTTATGTGGAACACAAAGAAACAAAGTGGAATAGGTCTGTTCCACCCCTACCCCATGGAACAGGGTGAAACAGACTTATAATTTACCAATATAATCTCAAAATAAAACTTAATTCTTTTCTAAAGTATCACATATGTCCTTTTTTATATTTTATTTATTGTATTTTACGTTTTCTTAAACTTTCAATTTATTGTCCTCGAAATATTATTTTTATACGGTTTTTATATTTTTATTAATTTATGTAACTTATTATATATTAATAATAAAAATAATGTAGTAACAAGATAAAAACAAAAACTGGAAACTACATAAACTTTTTATTTTGTATCATTTTAATTGTTTTAACGAAAACTTTCTAATAATATATCTTTTTATAAAAAATAATTATTCTATTTAATTTAATAAATTACATAGAGTAATTAAAAATAAACAACTCATTAAAGATAAATTGATCATTTTACTTATTCTGTTATGTCCAGTTTTATCTTACCAAACATTGAACAGTTGTTCGATCTTATCTTGTTCTACCCTATCTGGACACTAAACACACCCAAATAAAACATACCATATAAAAAACTTCGGAATACAATACAAATTACCAAAAAAAGTAGAAATACCCGAAAGACAACCATTTTCTCATATTTTCATTTATTTTTACCCCAAAAAAAAGTCATTTAAACTCATAACTTCCAAGGTCTTACAGACAAACTAGAAATGATTCAAACCACAGAAGTCGTCCGTTATTAATTCAAAAACTATATACAATGTTTTTGGACCAATTTCAATAACTTCAACAATAGACCGAGTACTTCTGAGCGTATCGTTATCAATTCCTTCTCTTTTTAATCTTTTATAAAGCTCGGATACCATATTTACTATACCTTGAAGAATTTCTCGAGTAATTTGGCAAATGTATTTATGGTTTTGTACTCTTTTGCCAAGCGGGGATGAAAAAAATATTTGGTGACGGAACCCGAGTCCTGAGAGTTGAATGATCAAAACTGTTCTAATACGACCTTGCGCATGAAGTCCTCCGGTGCTGTAACACGAGACATAAAATTCATTTTATTTTCTGAAGGAAATGATAGCGTAAATTATTGGTTCAAGTTAACACATTTATCGATTATACTAAGAAACCCGACTATTAAACATGACACTTGGAGCATCTTCAATAGATTCTTCAAAAAATTCTCAAAATGAAGAATTAAAAACCGAAATCTTCAGAAAAAATTACGTTAAGCTCCAATAACTTCTCTATTTTAGTGATTATAACATTAATTATATTACTAAATATTCAATAAAATATTATTTCTTTCTCCTAATCATTTAATTTATTAGAGCATCTCCAACAGCTATGATAAAATATAAAATATATAATTTTTTTTGTTCCACCAGCTATACTAAATGATATGTTAAAATAGATAAAATAATATAGATAAAAGTGGAAATATCCAAATTTGGATAAATCTCTAAAACTCCATTGAAGAGAGATAGAATGCAATGAAAAATTAACGTACTTTAACTTGATTCCTGTTATGGTAACGTACTTTCAAAACCTCCATTTTGGTACCTAAGATGTAAAGTTTTAAACATTTAAGTACCCAGGTAACCGGTTGAAGCATTAACCGGTTACCATGCTGATGTGGCGTGATTTGACTTACCTTTTGAATTTAAAATTCAATAAAAATTTATACTGAGTTGGATAACACATTAACATGGTAACCGGTTAATGCTTCAACTGATTACCTGAGTACTTAAATATTTAAAACTTTACATCTTAGGTACTAAAATAGAAGTTAAGGTACGTTACTTTTTCATGCAATTTGTCCATGAATAAATAAGATTTTAATTTTTTCCAATCAATAAATGTAATTGAAGTTAAAGACGTAAGGAGAGAAAAATAATATTTTATTAAAATATTGAATATTTTATTAATATAGTTAATGTTAGAATTGCTAAAGTGAAGTAACTGTTGGAGATGGATGTAATTTTCCTTAGAGATTTTGACTTTTTATACTCTATTACAGATAAAATTATAACATAGCGATTGTAGATGCTCTTAAAACCTTGTAAAAACGAGCAAAAACCGAAAGCTCATAAAGCATAGGAGATGAGGATGATTTACCTAATCCATTGGTGAACAATTTGAACTGACCAAGAGCTTGTCTGATGAACATCTCGACACCGCTCACTACCGTGACTCCGACCTCTACCGCCTCTTGCAATAGCCGGGTGTTTCTAGGCGTATAAACCGCATCAAATACAAGATCATACGATCTCAAATTTTCCTAATAAAGTCAAAACAAACGTTAGTTACCGTGTATTCATAAATGCAAACATAAAAGAAAGTTCATTCGGGAACCATTAATATTTTGAAGACCGGGAGAACCAACTATTCGTGATGAATGTGTCTAAATATTCATGATGAATATACATAAATATTCATCAAGCCTTTTCCTTCATGAATAGTTGGTTCTCAACATATTTACAGTTCTCAAATGAGCATGCCCTTTTACGCATATACATACGCATATACACGGATGTTGGAATGAGAACGACAAAAAGGTTGAGAATGTGAGAAAAGATCTCAACCGTCAGATTAGATGATCCAAAGGGCGTGGATTAAAAAGGTGGCTACAACAACCTTTGATACATACAGTAATCTTTTTTCATTCGTTTTTTCGTCATTCTCAACGATATATGTATAGGGGGGGGGGTAATCATACAAGAACCATAAAATCGTGAGAACCATGAGAACTGATACATAATGTGTTATTTCACATAAATTCTTTTTTCATCTAACGCTAAGATTTAAAGTATATATTAACATATATTTGTTTCACAAACACGTAAAAAAGTTTCACAATGTAAAACAAACACACTTGGAAACAAATATATGTTAGATTGATATCTTCAATTCTGGCATTAAATGAAGAAAAAAAAACATGTAAACCAAGACCTTAAAGTACAAGTTTTTATGGTTATCACGATATTTGAGGTTCTCATTTGATTAGACAGATATACAGATAGACAGATAGAGAACCTTGGAAACAGGCGTTAAGTGGACATCGGGTTCCATGCCAATAGCCGAACAATTTGCAAGAATCATCCCATTTTCTGGGCAAAATGCATCCAAATGATCGATAGGCAAAGCCTCACCTGAAACCGCTTGAGCAAGAGACTCTCCTCTCCCTACCCGAAGAATTTTAAGGTTAGAACATAATTAAAACTTTCAAATTAGCAGCTAAACACCATCAAGTCACGGGCTTTACCAAAATTGCGATTAAAAATCACCACTCGGGCTCCTTTGCTTTTGGCACCAAAAGCCAGTGCTCTTCCGGCACCTCCTGCGCCAACTAATACGAACAATCTTCCAGCAATTGGGGATACATTTGGTTCTTCCCCATTTGAGATCTGCCTCTCTATTCACCAAAAAAATGAATTACTTATAGGAAAAGATTTCGCCTTCATCTTTCTAGGCTGTGTTAGAATATGTCGAACCCTGCTCGATTACTCTTCAAAGGAGCCCTTGATGAGAGGAGGAGGGTTCCAACATATACGGAATATAAAGCGTCCAGATCTCATTGAAGTGGGACTCTAACACGCCTCCTCCAACGGAGACTAGAAGGTCAAATATGTCCCTGATGGTAGATTTTGACTCTGATACCATGTTAGAATATGTGAAACCCTATTGGATTACTCTCCAAAAGAGCTCTTGAGGAGAGGAGGGTTCTAACATATATGGAAGATAAGGTTGCCAAGTCTAGCTGATGTGGGACTCTAACACGCCCCCTCCAACAGAAGCTAGACGGGCAAAGATGTTCCAGATGGTAGATTTTGACTCTGATACCATGTTAGAAACTTAGAATATGTGGAACAACTGATTGGATGAAACTCAAAGATCGAATAAGCTATCATACTACCAACCTCGCAGTGCATCTTCTATTGCAGTAATGCAAGCATCACAATCTGTGTTGTAACCAACAAGCTTTCCATCAATGGGCCGCCTAACAATGGTGTTTACAGCTCCTATTGACTGATAAATGGCAAAGCATGAACGGAATCAGTATGCGCACCAAAAAAGATGATAGAAACTTGAGAACCTGAAAACCAACTATTTCATGTATTATTCATGACTAATAATCATGAATACTATTCATCATTAATATCATGCATCTTCATCATGAATATCATGTATATTCATCATTGATAATATCTATCACAACATTCATCATGAATAAAGCATAAATAGTTGATTCTAAGATCTCATTTGAACCTGCCCCTAAAGAGAATCCATTATATGTAAATGATGATAAGATTATAGTTTTTTTATACCTTAGCAAGGGGGTCAACTTCATCGCAGCACGCTACCGCTGCTTCCTTATGTGGCAGTCCAATACTATGCGTTCCATCAAAGAGAATACATTAGAAAGACCTAGTCAATTGCAAAGTATTATACTTTAGAAACAACCTAGTTACATGATTCATGATCTTCAACTACCAAAATCATGGTGGCATTTCCCCATTGCAATATCAATAATCTTGAAAAACATGAATAAAATTCAAGAACATAATCGTAACAACCCGTCCAACGTGGATAAAGAAGTAGATTTGTGAGGTCCTTATAAGCTTAAAATTACAGGCTACCAATAACTTCCATCGTGGTTTTAAGCAGATGCGGACCCATAACTTTTTTTAAGTGGTGGCACAATTTGACTATAAAAAATATCTAAAGTAGATACGTTGGCTGGTTCCTTGTCCTTATATAGAAAAGACTTGTGTCTGTGTATGGTCTACATATATTTTTAAAAACACGAAAGGTATATAAAAATACAACAAATTTGGATATCATTTGACTTGAACCTGGTACAAAGGCAGGAGCCGGGGACGGACCCAGAATTTTTTCTAAACGGTGGCACCATATGACCATAAGAAAAAAAATATAGGAATTTTTTTTTTCAAACGGTGATACCGTTCGACTATAGGAAACAAATATACGGAATTTTTTTTCAAACGGTGGCACCGTTTGACTAAGAAAATGACGCTAACATGATTAGGACTTGGGTGTGGGGTGGAATAAAAGCCTTGCAAACCAACTTTACCAAATAAAACTTGTTCTCATTGTAGTTTCAAAATACATACGGTGGCACACAACAAATTAATACGGTTGCACCGTTCACGAAACCTAAATTTTTTACCCTTCGGCGAAGAAACGATACGGTGGCACGTGCCACCCATGGCACTTAACTAGGTCCGTCTATGGCAGGAGCATTTACCATCTTAGCCATTAAGTGTTAACATTTCATTTTCAAAAACTATATGGTGGCACCCAACAAAACAATACGGCGGCACCCTTCAGAAACGTAATTTTTTCCCTTACAACGGAACAATGAAGCATTGGCCCGTGCCACCGTATCCATCCATGTGGCTCCGCCCCTGGTTTTAAGTTGAATTAGAAGTTATTGGGCCAACCTGGTTCTTTGGACTATTGGGAACTGCAGCAATGCATAGATAGAAAATTACACAGTTTTTTACTTCATTTACTTACAGAAGTGGAAAACAATCAATCTTCGATAAAAAGTAATGCATTAATCCAACAGAATATATCGTAATCAAAGAACCGAAAGGCTATCCCAATTTGATTTAAACAGAGTACCTGAAACCAGCAAAGTCGCTACACGAGAATACTCTGAGAAACTCTTTAATATTATCAACGAGGAGTGGGACATAGATTCCGTTATAACCACAGAATCTGAAAGCCGGGTTGTGCAGCAGAGGACCTTTGCTATGACCGACTGGGTTTGAAACAACACCAAATACTTTCGTATCCACATCCACATTATCAAGCTTATAAATATTCTTGATGCTGAGAAGAGGTGGCAAGCCTGGTATAGATTTGCCCCCTAACGAACCGGAAACCATAAAGGCACCGTATTTCGGGCCCAACAATTGGCTTATAAGGCCTCTATCTCCAACCGCTCTTACAATCACAGGGACCTGAAGAATTCACGCATGATAATTACATCACTCCATTATTACTCCCATAAAAAAATTACTTCCATTGTTATTGTTAAACCATGGGATAACCCATTCTGTTATAACTAATTTAGATGCCACATGTACGTTGAGATCTCAAATAGTTTTGATCCCTCCAGTTGTCTATAAACGACCACTGTCATAATCATTTTCAATCAATGAAAAGAAAATCTATGCTCTCTATTGGAGTCCCACATGAGCTAGACTTGGACCATTTTTCCAGTATATACGTTGGAACCTCCCCTTTCTCCACAAGGGCTCTTATGGAGAGTGAATTGGGGGTTCCACATATTCTCACATGGTATCTTAGCCAAGGTCTGCCAGTTCAGGGACCCGACACTCGGGCTAGCCTCCTAGGGTCCCGTTTGATTTGCATGAATGAAATAGATTTGGGGGATTTGGATTTCAAATCCACTTCAATCTAATGTTCGGTTTGTTGGATTGTCCGAATTTGAAATCCTAGGATTTAATTGAAATCCTATAAACATAGGATTTTGAAATCCTTAGGGGGGCTCGGGATTTTAGGGGATTTCGTTGGATTGCATGCAATAAGGTTTTAAAAAATGTTACAAATATTTGTTTTTATAAAATATTTATAAATAATGGAATCCAATTCCATTCCAAATGCTACAAACCAAACACACCAATGATTTCAAATCCATTCCAATCCAAATCCCTCGAAAACAATCTTGCGAACTAAATGGACCTAAGAAATTGTTAAGAGATTACCATAATGGATGATAAAGTCTATTTTACAAGTATTTATAGGGAATGATGAAGTTGTAATATTTGCAAGAAGGCGAATTCATACCTGAGAAAGAGTAAGGACATGAAAGACTGGTGCTACATCTGTAATATAAGCCACTTCGGTCACAAGTTTAACAATATCGGCTCCAGTAGATTGGAGGCATATAAGCAAATTGCCTAGTTTTTCCTTCGAATGGATTCCGCATTTCACGTAGCTTGATACAATTATCTTGCTATTTTCTCGTTTTTGCATAACTTCATTAATCATATCAGAAGCCAACTGAAAGTATAACCAATAAGGATCATCAAATCGGTTTATATATATACATTACCAACAAGAATTTGAGCAAATTAATCTAGGGTTATGATTCTTAAAAAAGTCGATAACGGGGACTAACCTCGAAGTCGATTTCGACGAATTCGACATCCAATTCGACGGCGAGTCTCAGGACTTGCAAACATTTGTGCTTCGAATCTCCTTTGCATGAAATTTTCTGCGAATTTAGCCTGAAATTATGAACAGATGATCCCACCATAAGCATGAAGTCATGTAAAACTACGATTTTGGTCTTACTGGCCCATATGGGCTTTTCGGTTGAATCAGCCCAGAGCCCATTGCTGATAAACTTTACTGATATGTGATAAATGATAATGTAGAAAAGTACTATAAAAGTACTGTATATTGATGCATATTATTTAAAATTCAATATTACAAGTAAATTATGCATAAATATAAATTATTAAGCCTCATGTTTGAATTCGTGTAACTAATGACGGATAAACATCTCATTTTAAAATATAATTAAGATAATTATCGAGTTTTAACAAAATAATCAATTATTATCTTTATAAAAAAATTATATTATTAAACCAAATATAAATTATTTCGTTATTGAACATAAATTAAATTATAATAAAAAAATTAAATTAAAAATTTACATAAAAAATTAGGAATTTTAAATATTTAATTTGATACTAATATCGATATATTTTTGTTAAATTTTTATGATATATCGTCAAATTTATACTTTATTCAAAAATAATAACATCATCTCTTTTTCAAAATCACATAAGACCATATTATAACATCGCTGAGATAAATAATAAAATGAAATATTAAAATCAAGATGTATCTCGCTACATTGAGCGAGTACCCTTCTAATAGTTTTATAAGGTGTCCATTAAGAGATGAATTTTGTTTGGAAAAGAAAATTTATATCTCTCAATGGTTATAAATTTATATCATGAGCTTTCATTAACCATTAAGTGTCATAATTTCATTGTAAACAATTATCAAACAATTGTATATCATTTTACACTATCTCATAAGAGTCTCTTAATCATTCTGACCGTTTAATTATTCTGCACCATATCATTCAATAACTACCAAACAACCCTAAATATTTATATTAACTCTAAATTTAAATTATATCAAAATTAAAAAAAAAAAAAAAAAAAAAGTGGTGTTCAAACTTTCCATGAAAAAGTGGTGTTGAAGTTATTATAATCAAACGGTCTAGAAGCCGGCGAGGAAGCTAGAAAAAGTGGTCACCACACCTACCACACGAATTAACCTTTAAAATTGACACGTGATCTATTAAATAAAAATGCAAACATGTATTAATTTATTTCATTTATATTATAAATAAAATATATTAAATTAATTGAATAAACACAAACAAACAAAATGTACCATTGTTTGTTTACATGAACGTGTCGATTGTTTGATACTAACACTTTCATTTATTCTACTCTGAACGGGTCCCACATATGACATATCAATATATTATTATTCTAGGGCCTAGCTTAAGGTTCACTTGAATTTAAATTAAGGATTGTTTGTTTACTTCTTAATAGTTTTATTGTGAGTCAATTATCTGAATCGTTATAAGATAAATCTTGTTTAACAAAAAAAAAAAGTCTACCTTTTAATGATTCTAAAGCCCTTCGAATGATTTTGTATAATGAGTCTCGTTTAACCATTCAGCACCCAAGTTTCATTGTAAACAATTACCAAACAATTATATTTCATTTTGCACTATATCACCAGAGCCTCTTAATTATTCTGATCACTTGATAATTCTGCACTAAACCATTCAGCAACTGCCAAACAATCTCATAGGCTTTCATTTACACTCGCTCGTCTTATTTTCATAAATCTGATTTTTTTTTAAATGTTAAAGATGTGCCCACTGAACTTTGAATATTGCTCTGGATATTATAAAATATATAGAACATTAACCAAAAAATCAAAGAAGAAAAATATTTCGAAATCAACCAAAAAACCGACAAAATCCATCGAAATTGACCATAAAAAAAATTAAAAATTCCTCGAAATAAAAAAAACACTTTAGAAATGCCTGAAAAAGGTGAAATTCAGCTAAAACCACATTGAGCGACTTTACAGGCCTTCTACATTAATGTTGTGTTCTTGAATTTGAGGAGAAAAGAAAAAAAATATTTTTGTTCGAGTTTTTCGAACGAGAATGAAATATTACGAAAATACCCTGTAAAACGTAGCATTTATAATGAAATATTACCGATATTTCATTTATTTCTCATTCCTCCCATATTTGGAAGAAGAATTTTGAAAAGAATCTTATCGTTAATTTTCTTTAGTTCTCGAAGGGCTTCCCCTCCTCGGACCAAGAGACTTGGACTACGAGCCCACTTAGCAAACGAGGCTCGGGATGATTAGACAGTTCTCTTTCTCGATGGAGGCAGAGAAGGGATATAACTCAGCAGTAAAATGTCACTTTTATTCGTAATAAAAGGGTTTAAAAAACATAACATATCTTGCTAATAAAAAATCTTGAATCTGCCACGTACGCTTGTGTCCAAAATGTTTAAAGATAAAAAGACAAAACAATTTAAATCATCTAAAAAGGACAACACTCGAATAAAAACTACAAATTAGACCACGTGTTTTCTAAACAATAAGCTATATACCTTATATTCTTGATATTTATGTTTTTTTAAAAAATATATATATATATATATATATATATATATATGTATATTTTAAACTAGCATTGATATTATATTTAAAAAAATATTAATAGTTTAAATCGAAACTTATAATTAATACTACATATTTAAGAGTTGTTAGTTTACCTCTTAATAGTTCATAAGAGACAATCGTTAAAAGGTAAATTTTGTTAGACAAAAAAAAAATATGTTTCTTAATGGTTCTAAAACATCTGAATGATTTTGCATCCAGGGTCCCCATTTAACTATTCAGAGCGGTAATTTCATTATAAACAATTATCAGACAATTATATTTCATTTTGCACTATATCATGAGAGTCTATTAATCATTCTGACCACTTAATTATTTTGCACCAAATCATTAAGTAAATGCCAAACAACTCTTTAGAAAGAAAAACTAATTAAATATAATTTAATAAACAAAATTGATCAGTTACATATTTTGTAGGAAAAAATTATATCACAGTAAAATATAAAAGTAGTATATTTTTTAATAGAAAGAATGCAATGATACTGAGACGGTGTTTGGTTAGAGATATTAATCAGTAATTAACGTGAATGATAATAAATAAATAAAAATTGTATGATTTTATGTAATATAATGGTTTCATTCTATCAGAAGCCCCAAATTTTCATTCCAAGTTAAACCAGAGAGAATAAAAATCATTTCCATTATCATTCCTTAACCTGAACCAAACAGCCTCTTAGACAAAAATATCACCATCAGACTTGGTGCAACTTTTTTCAAAAAATAAGAATAAATTACATTTATGTAATATAATTGTTAAATGTATTTATTTTAATAATATAATTAAATGTTAAAAAAAATATTTTTTTTAAATATGCTCTCAACTTTCTTATTTTCTTTTATTTTAAAGAATTTAGAGTAAACTATAAATTTAAATCTTATGGTTTGTCAAAAATAAAACTTTTCGTTTTACAGTTTCAAAAGTACAATATCGTGATCATGGTTTGCAAAAACGTCCAGATTTGCTTCCTGCTTCTAATGGCTGTAATGTCTTTTTATCTATTTTTTTGTCTTTTACCTAATCAAAAACGACAATTAACCGAAATCAAAAATCAATTTTGATTGGGTAAAAACATGACGAAAATATCTCTCATTTAATAAAATCATATAACGATTTTAAAAAGAAAGAATTAAATCCAAAAGTTTTTATAAAAATTTTGTAATTTAAAAATTTAGAAATGAAAAGTATCACGTGACAATCCACATGGATTAAATTTATATTTAAATCAAGAATTTATTACATAGAAAAATAATGTTACCTAAAAATCCTCAACACTAAATTCAACGTGATATTACATGACGTAATTAATGTGTTCCAACTTGTGCCGCCCCCTACCGCCCCCATACCTTTCGTGTACCATGTACATTAAATATTGCCTCGAATCAATCAATTGTGGATTTGTAACGAGTTGTAGTCTACCAAAAATCCTAACATGATTTTAAATTGGATTCGAAGTTATTGAATCAGTCTGTTGTTTTGAACTTTCGGGTGTTACAAATGATAATCTTTATCCTTATACTATCGAGATGGTGGGGCAAACTTCATCAGATATGATGAATCCACAAATCCATATTACAGATTACAACGAGGAAGAATCTAGCAGGCCTGACGAGGTCGTCAATAGTTAAAGTGGGGTAGTTTGTAACTATTCGTTTCACGTAGATAGAAAATGGGATTTGTGAGGTCCAAACAAGACTCAAGTTTTAGACTACCAATAACTTTCACGATGGTTTTAAATTGGATTCGAAGTTATTGAGTCAGTCTGTTGTTTTGGATTTTAGGGGTGTTACAGATAATTAAGTCACTACCAAATTGTCATGTATAGCTAGCCACTTTCTATATAATTAAATCACAACCAAATAATCATGTATAATTAAATCAACCACACTTGACGGAAAACGATATATATGTCCTATGCTTGGAGTTGAAGTAATTACAGTCTTAATATCCCTATCATTTTACTGTATTTTTTGCCTTAGCATTGTAAACGATCTTAGAGGTTATTTACTAAATACCTCAGTTATTCACTTTTAGGAATCACCACCTCACTCACTGAATCAATTAACATTCTTGGTTGTGGGTTTTTGGCCTAGTGGTATCTAAGGCTTTGACCTCCTACGATGTCAGGGGTTCAAACCTCATCAAATGTGAGGAAGGTGTTTGAGTTTACTTGTTATATTTGTTGTATATAAATATTATATACTTAAAAAATGGAATTGTCTATAAACGTTTTTTACCCGGTAAATGTTAACCGGATAAAAATATCAGTTCTTGCTATGTTTGTTTACCAATTAAGATTCTAGCTCACAGTCATGCTCACCCGTTAAGGCAAGTGAAACATTTTGTAAACGACCCTTTACAACAGACAGGGCGGACCCAAGAGGTTTAAGTGGTAAAAAATTGTAAGGTCATGAAAAATGCCACAATATCAATTTCTTGTATGCAACCGTATATATTTTGAGACTACAATAAAAATACAAGTTTCCCTTAATAAAATTGCTTTACAAGGTTTCTCTTCCACCCAAATCCGAGTTTTAATCATGTTAGTGTCTTTCTCTTAGTTTATTAACTTTTAGTTTCAGATTTAATATATCTCTGGGAAAAAAAATGCAATAAAAGACTTGAACACAAGACCTTACATATAAAAAACAATGAACTAACCAACAGACCAATGATAATTTTATAAAAAATATCCATATTTTTATTTCTTATAGTAAAATGATATCACCAATTGAAAAAATTTCTAGCTCCGTCTCTAACCGCAAAGGAGGTTGTTATTTATTAACGATAAAAGAGACCGACCAATTTTACTAAAAATAGTAATGTGCATGACTCGAGTGCATAAGCCACCTACCACTGGTGGCGTCCAGTTTCCATGTGCATCTGCACCTAGACTCTCGTCCTCTTCTTCAACCTTGTATTATATTCAAACCCCACCATCCCAAATTTTGTTTTACTCTCGTCACCCAAAACTATAAGGGTAAAATGGGTATCTGGCTTCTCTCAGATTCCTAAAAACTCCTTCAGACTATACAAAATTGTGGATACTAAAAGAACAAGCAATGCCAATTACCAAATCTACCCTTCAACGGCAAAACTAAATTGGAGCAGTTTAATGAGTTTAATGGGACAGACAACTTCTTCGATCAACTACATGACTCTTTGGTAATGACTTAATAATATGGAAAGTGGCTTATTTAGTAAGCTTCAAGTTTTTTTTCTAGCATGCCCTTCTCAATTAAAAACACGTTCATTTCACTAACGAAAAACTCTCTCAAACAAAAATCTTCCCTATCTATATAGTAAGATTAATCCACAGGGACAACTTTATTCATACAAGACTAACTAAACAGCCCTCCATTTCTACTCCATGGCTCTTTTAAAAGGTTATTTAATACAGTTCCATATATTCTCACACCCAAAAGAGAGATGATCTTAATCATGATTAAACATGCAATGCAAGTATATTCGACCATAGTGTTGATATCTTGAGTAAAATGACAATTTTGGGTTCCTATTTTCATGTTATTTTTTATTGAGTTAAGGATTTTATGACTAAAGAAAATGAGGTTGGTCCAAGGGCAAAAGGGTAACATACTAGCATGTCTAATCAATCAATCAATTATTGCAGAAGTAAACCAAACAAAACTAACTAGTATATCCCACCACTCAGATGCAGGTTATATGGTAAAATGCAAACAGATTTGACATCTACATAAAGAGTAGAACAACTATTATTTCATTTGGAGGTGGGGGTAATGGGGTAATGTATGCAGACGTGACCTCTACCATAAAGAGCGGAACAATTATTATTGTAGAAGTAACCAAACCAAAAAACAGCCCGAGTATACCCCACTTGGGAATGGGGTAATGTATGCAGACATGACCTCTACAGTAATTAAAAAAAAAAAAAAAACTGTTGTTGCAGAAGTGATAATTAGATATAAAAAACAGAGGAGAAGGGTACCTGAAGGAAACAATTGCAGGGAGAGTTCTTTGTTTCAAGACCAACTCCACATCAGAAATATGGGAAATTGATTCCATACAAAGCTCAACAAGATCTGCACCTTCTTCTTTTGCAATCTCCATTGATTTCACCATTTCTTCTTTGGTTTCACTTTCAATTGTGGCACACACTAGCAGCTTCTCCCTGAAACCCATTTGAAGTGGTGGTGGAGTGGTGGTGCAGTGGTGGTGGTGGGTGGTGGTTGGTGGTGGTGGGAGGGAAAGAGTGTGTGGTGGTTCAAAGAAGTAGAGTATAACTAAGGTGCCTTATATAAGCAAAAGCCATGTGTGCGGCATTCTTTATAGAATCCTAATTTCTTATGGACTCAATAAATTGTTGATTGCCACCTACCCCCTTCAGCCTTTGCCACTTTCCTTTTGGTTTCTCAATATTTGGCTCGTTCAGAAACATGAGAATCTGAATATCCAGCCGACAGATGTGTTGATTTCATTTGAGAAATAAAAAAGTACATCATTTCATATATTATATTTTATATCTGTATATTTATATAGATTTGGGATCATGTGAGACCATCATGTTTTCATAAGACATTTGAGACCACTTTTTTACACTTAAAACTTCACAGCAAAACGCTGTGAAGGTAACCTTCACGATGTTTTTGTTGTGAATGTTCGGTTTTTTTAAACGATGTGAAGTTTCAAGTGTAAAAATATGGTCTAACGGGCCTCATAAAAACAGGTTGGTCTCATGTGAACCCAACCCTATATACATATATTTATATATGTATATATATTTACTAAACACATTCTATTTTGTGCATAGCATATTAACATTGTGGTTGATTGTTTGAACCATTGTTGATTGGTTCTTGTAAGTCAAATCATTTAGCTTTACCTTTACTGTAAACGTACCAAAACACTTAAATTATGTTAGCATAAGAGATAGAAATAAGAAATTTCTTCAAGTAGTGACATACATCATTTGACTATAAGAAACAAATATAAAAATATCCATCCCAAAATTATCATTGGTCTGCTGGTTAGTTCACTGTTTTTCATATGTGAGGTCCCGTGTTGAAATCTTTTTATTGCAATTTTTATTCAGACACGTAATAAATCTGAAATTAAAAACTAAAAACTAAGAAAATGACACTAACGGAACTCGAGTCTAAGCAAGCCAACTCTACCAAAAGAAACGTGTGTCCTCATTATAGTTTTAAAGTATATATGATGACACACAACAAATTGATACGATGACACATTTCACGACAACTTTTCATACTAGCACGGAAGAACAAAATGATGACCCGTACCAACGTTTCAATACATTGGGCCCATAACACCTTTTAAATGTTTATTGTGTAAACTTGTATGCCCATGTGACCTCATTGTTCATATATACACATAGCAGAATAAGAAATGTCATAAAAGTTTGAGTTAAAAAAAGAGCTAAATGCACTTTTATATATTGCTAAATGCAACGTTACCTACTAAATTCCTCCTAATACATCAAAATCAAGACTCACTTTTTACATTTTCGGTGTACGATTTAACCTGATTCTGACATAGACATGATGCATAAGAGCATCTTCAACGGAGGTTGTTAGAGAATCTCCAATGCAAGGTTCTTACAAGAACCTTCGTTCTTACCTCTGAACTTGGTGTGAACAGACTTTTTTTTTATTAACCTGAATATCCAACCTGCTATGCGAGCCGACTAATCCTAGGGGGACCACCTGCTTTGCAGATAGCCCGTAGACACTGCATTTGAACCTCCATGGTCACAAGAGGATTTTTATTCCTCATTGGATTTCAACCTGAGACTCCTGGTACTTTTGACCTTTAGAGTCAAGCTCAAACCAATCAGGCACCACCCTTGTGGTTAGTGTGAACTGACTTTTTTGTTCATTTTTTGGGTTCATCAAGGTTAATATACAATAACTCAAAAAGCACACGATTCTTACAAAAGAAACTCTCTATAAAAGAGGTGTTTAGTTAGAGATATTAAACAGTAATTAATGTGAATGGATGAAAATTCGTTCTCAAAACTAAGACAGTGACTAATCATGGTAGCAATCTAGTATTAATCATAGAAGAGAGAGAGGGGCAGGGGCGGGGGCATAAATAGGTTATCTAATGAGCAAAATCTTGAAAAAACAATGGATTTCGTGTCATGTGCGAAGCATCTTCCACATCAAACAATATATATTAAATGATTTTTGTGTACTCCAAGACGTCTTATTGTATTATTATTTTGTTCCAAAAAGATAGAAATATCGAATAAAAAATACTGCGTATGGGGGCGTCTTCAATTTTGTCACCAACGTTGTGTTATAGTCATAAAGATAATTAAAGCTAAGAAAACTCAAATGATTCTCATCCATTGTTTTAAGACATCCCACTTACTTAAAAGTTTCTATATTTTTGTTTAAATTTGTCCTAAATAAATATTTATTTTTTTGGATTAACCTGAATATTCAACCCGCTAAGCGAGCCGGCAAATCCCAGGACGACCACATGCTTTGCAGATAGTCCAGAGTTACCGCATTTGAACCTCTGTGGTCACAAGCGAATTTTTATTCTTCATTGGATTTCAACCTGGGACCTCCTGATACTTTTGAGCCAAGCTCAAACCAATTAGACAGCATCCTTATGGTTAATTATATATTTATTTTTAAAAATAAGACAAATTACATGAAAAAGTTATGTACTTTAACTTGATTCATATTTTAGGTAACGTACTTTTAAAACTTCTATTTTGGTACCAAAGATGTAAAGTTTTAAACATTTAAGTATCCGGATAATCGGTTGAAACATTAACCGGTTACCATGCTCATGTGGTATCAAACTCAGTATTATTTGCAGACATGGATATCTTAATCTAAAATTAGTTTTTATGTATAGTGGTTTATTAGGATAAAGAGTTAATGATTCAACCAGTTATCCGGATACTTAAATGTTTAAAATTTACATCTTAGGTACCAAAATGAAAATTTTGAAAGTACGTTATCCAAAATAGGAAACAAGTTAAAGTACAATACTTTTTCTACAGACAATTCCTCCGATTGTTTAGTTTGTTTTGATGAAACCTCCACTCTCTCACAATCATTCTCCACATATATTGTTACTGCTAGTTCTTACAGTCATACAACCTACAATAATATCGTTCGTTGATGGTTTTGTTAAATATATCTCAATTTCTTGTTTTTTTTTAGTTTAAAGATAAACTTATACCCCTGATGTTAATTTTATATATGCTCAAACAAATTCATCTAGAAGAAATTTCTATAGATTAAATAAGAGTGTAATTTGGTATTCGGTTAACCAATATCGTAAAGAAAAATAATCTAAATCCAAACTTACCTTATTTGGTTAACCTAGTTGTTTAACCCGCAAACTGAATAATCTGAAACCGTTTTGGCTTGGATGATTTATTTGGTTTCGGGTTTTTTCTTGTACCCCTACTCCTCCTGGGCTCTCAGTCACCTAAGTTTCTGAATCTGCCACTGTCGCTAAATAAATGACTATCTGATATGATCAAATGTTTTTTGTCTAGTTTCGTTGATCATCTAACGTCATCCTCCAACATAGCAATCAAAACTAAAAAAAATAAAAATGAAGTGGATCGATAATCCGAATATGGCTAGATTAATCATCCTTTTGATATAATCATCACATGGTTTCGGATTTCGACACATCTACCAAGACATAAGGATCAATCACTAATGGGAAACAATAAATTTTAACATCTTGTGACAGGGTATGTACTATGTACCAAATAGATCATTTCAACTTTGGGATTGCCTACCATTACTAGAGTAGTAAATGGCTGTACAAATTAATATCAAATATAATAAAATCATATATATATATATATATATATATATATATATATATATATAGACTTGAGATCATGTGAGAATAAGGTTTTTTCATGAAACCCATAAGACTAATTAAAATCCCAAAAAATGAAAAATTAAAAAACATGATGGTGATGATTCATCTGGATGATATGCATATATGCATATAAGTAATTGAAGTTATTTCTTGATTTTTATATATGTGTGCATGTTATACACATCAAACAAATTGCTCACAAATTACTTGTAGCTGTAACATATGTGCATACCATCTAGATAAATGGTTACAAGAGCGTTACTCGGTTTTTCATTTTTTTTTTACTATTTTCCTCTAAACCTCACCTCACCTCACCTCACCCTCTCTCTCTCTCTCTCTCTCTCTCTATATATATATATATATATATAAAAGAAAATATGAACATTAAATTTTATAAGTAATTATATATAAATATATAAAAAAATAAA